CGGTTTCTCGGCCCCGCAAGATGACCCATCGCACTTTCGCGAGGGCTGGGGTGGCCATGGAGGGCGAACTTCCGGAGCAGGGCATAGCGTCGGGTTCGCGGGGACTTACATGATTGGGGCCGGACCGGGGAGTCTCACCAGTCCATCCCCACCGGTGGAATCCCCGCGACAGAATTACATTCAGAATACAGCGCAGACTACAGGTGGCTCAGCGAATTATGATACAACGGTGACAAGTGGACCCATTAGTTCTCCATCGTTCTACCAATCTGGCGGACCCCATCGCCCTTCCCTCCAACAGGCGCAATCAGCATCCACAGCCCAACAGCAGCAGCAGGTCCCGCAGGTCCAAGCCCCCATACGCCGTCGCAGACAACTGGAGGACCCCAGCCGCATCTACACCTCAATCACAACACCATACCCATACACGGCCCACTACCACCGCCTCTTCCACATGCTCGAAACCCGCTTCCCAAAACCTCTCCTCCTGCGCATCGCTCGGGCAATGGCCTCGTTCCGCCCTTCCTTCATCGCCTGCACACAGACGCTCAAAGCCGAGGACCTCCTCTTCATGGAGAGGTGCTTCCAGCGAACGCTCTGGGAGTATGAACGCTTCATACAGAACTGCGGCACGCCAACTCTCGTCTGCCGACGCACGGGGGAGGTGGTCGGCGTCGGAAAGGAATTCTGCATGCTTACGGGCTGGGAAAAGCAAGTTCTCCTGGGCGAGAAGGTGAACCGAAACACCAATGTGCCCGCTAACGGCGAAGTCGTTAACTTTCGGCCACCACCCATGGACGAGTATAGTCTTGTCGGCGTTGGCGGGGGCGCGGGGGGAGCCGGCAGTAGCCTCGGAGGAATGAAGAAACCCGTATTCCTGGCCGAGCTCCTGGACGATGAGAGCGTTGTTGAATTCTATGAGCAGTTTGCCCGGCTGGCCTTTGGCGACTCGCGCGGCGCTGTCATGACGACTTGTAGAGTGCTCAAGTATCGCGCCGAGAAGGACGATAGTGAGAAGGATGGCGTGAGGGAGGCTCGTGGTATGGATGGTCTCGGCGCGAAGGATGGGAAGGTGGAGTGTGCTTTCTGTTGGACTATTAAGAGGGATGTGTTTGATATTCCCATGTTGATTGTTGCGAATGTGAGTTTTCCCTCTCCCTCTCTCTCTCTCTCGCTTCCTTCGCGGGTGGGGCGTGGGCTAATGAGCGTATGTATAGTTTCTACCGATTCTCCCGAGACCAGCGCCTGAGGGGGGGAAGTAAATTTGATCTCTTGCTTTTTTTTCTTTCTCTTTTTCTTTTTTTCTTGTCGAGACGGTAGGGTTGTGTGTACGATTCTGTTTTTTTTTTTTTTTTTACCGCTCTGATTGAGTACGCTTCATCGACTGGTTATTTGTTCTATTTACCCAGCAGTGGTGGGATATAATGGGAGTAATGCACATCATGTATTTCTTTCTTTCCACCCCCCACCTCCGGCCACCGCTTTGTCTTCGATTCCGGCTTTTCATTTCTTGTATTTCGACCACAGTGCGTAACTATAGACTCCTGAGAATCTTTTCCATTTCGTTTTTACCCTTCTTTCTTATAACTTTTGGGATTTTGTCGGTTAGTTAACTTCAATTTTTGATTTACACCTCGCGTTGTGGGTATTGTGAAGCGCTTGGTATCTGGTGAGATGGTCTCGTTCTGCTCGCCCGTCTGCCCTCCTCCCTGCCGTGGCGATATACCGGTGCGCCGGTACCTTAATTTCTCTACAGTACTTGTATGTACCTATACAACTCACTACGGTGAAAGGCCGTCATTCGCTTCAATTCTTTTCCTCGCACGTGTGATAAATTTGCGGTAGCCTACCAACCCCCGACCTTAAAGCCGCACAAGGTACTGAGTTGAGTTAAGTGCCGGTACTGCATGGTACACCTACCGACGGGAAAGAAAACGACATCACAAGCTCTGGTAGCTCAGGGGTTAGAGCATGCGATTGCAGATCGCAGGGTCGATCGTTCGAATCGGTCTCAGAGCTGATTTTTTTTTTCTTCCCTCTTCCTCCTCCTTTTTCCTTCGCGCCGTATTTGTTGTGTACTGGTACGACCGTGTCGAGTTATGAGGACAGGTGAAAAGGTCGCTGTTCGCGCGACATGTAGGGGCTGTTGGGGTTCGTGGTCAGGGTTGACTTCAATGAGTGCGGAGGGAGGGAGGGAGGGGGGGGTGCTTCCGGATCGATGAAGTCTGGCATACTGGTACGAGTACCGTACTTATAAGTTATGATACGGTGCCTGCTCCCATTGGTGTCATAGACCAAGGCATAGGTGCTTCGAAGAAGATCCGTGCTATGGTGATATCACGCCATGACGAATATTATATAACTTACTGTACGAGCACTTGTATCTGGCAATGAGTGCCGCACCGGTGTCAAGGCCATCGCTACGAGTATTGTCATACTACCACCCAATCAGTGGGGAAGAAGCCTTGTCCCGGGGGTTTTTTTTAATTTTATTTCAGGTATGATATTTCATCGTCGGTTAGCCTCGGCTTGCCGGTAATCGTAAGCCTACAGTACCCTTTGAGTCCTATGGGAAAAAGAAATGAATAATGAGAAAAAAAGCGGTGGAGGGATGATTTGTTGGATGTCTATAATATGATAAAAAGAAGGAAGTTTTTTCTTGTACCGGTATTCTATGAGTAAGTATGAGGTGAGGATGTATGGGTGTGTGTTCTCGCTCTCTCTCGCTGCGACTGCAGTACCGGTGCGATTGTGGTCGGATGGTTTCTTTAACGGTGTGGATACTGCACGGGGGGTGTTGTACGGTGGGATGGGTTGGTAGTCTATCGAAGGTCGAGGGTTTTGTCTGGTACTTGTATTGCGGCGCGTCGGTGCGAGTGCGAGTACAGTACTGTGCGATACTGTATAGTGCCATATCCTGATCATTACCACCAGTGCTGCACTATACTTGCCCCCCTACCGGTACTTTAAATCTGGCCCACTACCACCAAACCATCCAGAACCCCCCCCCCCCTTTTCACACCCGTGCTGTGCCATGCCATACTGTACTGCTCCACCCTAGAACCCTTCGATATAAGATCGAACGCCACGATACCTCCAAGTTAGTAACTAAATTAACTCAACTAACTTGCAACACTCAGAAAGACTCCAATAATCATGATTCCCCACCCCGACGGCGAGATATATATAACGCGTGCCCGGGGACTCTATAGAACCCAGGCGTTCGCGAGGCGAGTGTTGGACAACCGTACTTTCAAAACTCTAAACCGCGGTATAATATCCAAACTCTAGTACCGATGAGGGTTAATTCATCACTCACTTCCTTCCTCTCCACTAGTATGTAATTAATTAATATCCAGAACCGCGAGTATCGTACTCGAACAAAACAAGAGAAAGTATGATACGTTCGGGTGCGATACTTACCAGCACGTTCTTTGAAAACTCTCTCCCCTCGCGCGTTATGGATGAATACGAGAGGCAGATCTAGCCCACCCCGTGCAGAGAGCGGGGAAAAAGAAAAAAAAAACACTGTTCGAAGCGCTTTCTTTCTTTCGTTCTTGAGTGATTCCGACGTTCCTGTTTTATGATAATATCATAGTACATTTTTTCTTCTTTTTTTTCTCCCATAGTATCCGATACTGGTACCGAACGGCACACATATCATACCTCCCACCCCAAAGCACCTTGTACAGTACAGTACGGTACTCCATGAGAATATCATACACGACAGGACTTTCACCATTCCCACACACCGCCACCGCCACACTGACAAACCATCATTACCATTGGCATGACCACCAGACTACCGTACCGGTAGACCTATCCCTTCGTTCGTATTCACGGACGCGAGCTACTGAAGGGCTAGAGGAAACCAGAGATACGCTAGGCCTTTAAATGGTAGTCTTGAGTGGTGTGCCAAGAGAAATGTGGCTGTTGCTACAGAAAATCTTCATCAACCACCAAACTTCAACCACTGCATGGAAGTTCCGGCATCTGCCCTCCTCCTCACCGCAAGCCAACGCTGAGCTCACCTTCTGGTATCTCATACCTTCGGACCCCCTACCCACCACCCACCAAGATACCAACAGACTGTTCAGCAAATCTCTTGGTACCTCCTTGCCAGGAAGGCCCTGAACTGTAGTTCTAAGTCTTGGATTGTAAAGAACGGAGTT